TGTAAAATTACCACAATTCAACATTATTTTTCGGCTGCTTTAATCCTAAAAGAGAACTATCTGTGGCTTTGGGAGCAAAGAATTCATGCTAAAAAGTCTTAAAGTCAACAGAGTTCTTAGTTTTCTTGTACTGTTTAGTGTTTGTCCATACAGTCTTCATCTTTAAAGTTAGAACATCCATCATGCTTCTCAGAAATCTGAGCTGACCAAAGTTGAGAAATAGAATCGTTAATTGTCAAACAACTTCTCTAAAATATCATTACTGGGTTAGGCATAAAGAGGATTGGCAATCATGGCTCTCCACAATTTCTTATCCTTTGTATCTATAATTCTCAATGTGTGTGTGTGTGTGTGTGATTGGATGTTGTTTATGCGTTTCCATTCAATTTTGATGAAATTTTTTTTGCTTGATAGATAATTCTTCAGTGCCAGTTTTCACCCCAAAGACTGGAAAAAATTACAACCTTGAAGGTGAAAAATTGTAAAAACTGATTTTTTACAGTTTGCTCAAAAATCAAAGGCAAAATTTAATGTCTGTAACAAACAGCATACAATCAATTTACGGAGTTGAAATATAACACAAAAGATTAATAGAACTATTAAAAAAATATATTGTAAATAAAAATAATTGTATATTATTATTAATATTATGACAGTCCATGGAAGAGCTTCCTTCCTTGAAAGATTGAAAACGCAAAAACGGCCCTTTTCAGGGCCATACCCCCCATTCAAATTGTTTTTTTAACATGTATACCCTTCAAAAATTTTGCTAAGTGTACCGTGATATTTTCATTTACTTCTAGCTGTGCCATTGCTTAAAAAGGTTGAGAAACATTGATCTAGTGTCTGATCATAAAGGAAAGTAATATTTATTTTGAAAAATACAAAAATGTGACAAGGGCGGGGGTGGGGTGGGTTAGAGGAAGGCTGTTTATACTATTTACATTGTTGTCCTCATTTTTATTGTCTTATTCGCGACGTTTCGGCCATTGTATGCCCTAGCACTCTTCAGGTGATATACGTTAGAATTTTGAACTAATATATTCTATTTTGTCCATCACTACAGTCACATTGCCTTTGTCAGCTGGTAGTAAGATGAAGCTCAGAACATATAGCAGCTGAAACATGAATATGGCAGCAAGAGACAACTGTTTGAATGATGTAAATAATGTAAAAAGTTACAATACCTCATTTTGGAAATATAGACAGAGGGCAGAATCGTCTTCAATCTGTCTTACCTTAAACTTAGCTAGCTACAATTACTGACCCAAATATACCACAGCATTCCTTACACCAAACAAAACATTCTTACTTACCATTACTACTACAGCACTATAATACCTACAGTCTCTACAGGGTGCGATGGATAAGTTGTCGTCTAAATGATGCAAAAATGAAAATAACATTGACATTTCATTTTAACAGATATATTTAACAAAATTACACAAAATATCTTGAAACACTAAAGAGGAAATTTATTCAATAAAAAAAAAAAAAAAAAAAAAAAAAAAAAAAAAATCGCCATTACTTCCAGACAACTTAGGAATATGCTGCAAACTTTTAGACAGTCTCCATGTTTAAGTTGGTGAATGTTGCCATAATCCTTGCCTTCAGTTCATCTTTGGTGTTACAAGGAGTTTTGCTGGTATCTCACTCAACTGTGCCTCACAAATAATAATCAAAGGGGTTGCAGTCTGGGGAGTTAGGTGGCCAGATGTAAGGGAGATGAGGCATAGTCCTGTTGCCAGACGTAGGGTTTTCCAGCAGCTACCCTCTTGATCCTCAAGGCACTTGATGTAGGCCTCAGTGTCGAGTCTGTGGCTCTGTGGGAAGATGAATGGAGGCATCATGTTGCCATCACTAGTGATCACTCCAAACTCCATGACATTGATGAGATACATCATCCAACTCTTTCTGAAACCTCTGCATTGTCCCAAACACCAAAAAACTGAAATATTTGCATTGGAGCTTCTGGCACAAATGCCAAGCAGTACAGCAAACCATTTCCAAATTTCTGGCAGAGTGAATTGCATCATGGTGCTCTTTTTCTCAACTGACCATACTATACTGCGTAGTTGACAAAATAAAAATCAAACAAAGCACATGGCAAAATTAAAAATATAAAATAGTGACAATTTACCAATCGCACCCTGTATGAAGTCATAACTAGTTCCCACATGTACAATTTGTCTGTGAAGGGGAGGGGGAATAAAAATAACTTTTAAAAGTGAACCCCCTAGTGAATATTTACAATGATTACAATTTTATATACACGAAACTAAACAAAATAGAAGAAAGTTCATCAGAACAATTATCATGACAGAATTTTTAGAAAAAGCACTGGGAAGCTATATTCTGGTAGTGGAAAAGTGACTCAAAGTAAATTTTTTCTCATCTGTTGTGTAAAAAGAAATACATTAAAGTCTGTGCTTGAGATTAACATTGTCTTGGAGATGGTAGTACATTGATTCTTCCAGCTCCATGCTTCCCAGGCAAATTTAATCTGCAAAAATTTAAATGCAATGTCAATCGGTATCTGCAGTCCTCCTGATTACTCTTTCCTCTTTTTTCATTATTAATGTTTCTATTCTTAATTCTTACGCATCCTATTACCCACCTTGTGTCTTCATGGATTTTATCTTGCAAGGGGGTGAAACCAATTAAAAAAAAAAAAAAAATAAATAAAATAAACAAACAAAACTCAAATGGTTCTTTATAAACTGGTGAATGAAAAAGAAAAAAATAAATAAAAATAATGAAGGACTTAAATTTAGATATTTTTATCTCTAAATGTAAAAGAATATTATGACTTCAGATATCAGATTTTTTTTTTTTTTTTTTAAATAGAGTTTTAATTAAAATATTATATTGTCATAAAAAAAAAAAAAAAAAAGTCCCAAGCCAGTCATCCTAAACTAATTTTTTGTTATCCCAGGGGACAATGTTACTGTTAAATTGACCAATGGAATGAAATCAAGATCATAGTCGGAGAACAACACCGGATGAGAAGAAGGCTGAAAGAATCAGCACATATGTTAAACACGGACATGCTCCTTAGCAGAGAGAAATTCCATAAAAAAAAATTAAGAAAAATAATAATAACAATATAGAATACTAAATAGTGTCATGACACTAATCCTGCCACCTGACTATAAACATTAGGGTTTCTTTTTTAAAGGGTCCAGAATTTTAACACTAGACTCTTCAAAAGACAAAGAGAAATCTGTATGAAATCTGTGAAATTGAGCATGAAGACAGATGGCTGAAGGAGGCTACAACAACCAAAATGACCATGTTAGTCCGAATAACAAAGCATAAAGACAGACAACATCTGATGAAAGCCGGAGTGTACAACGGTCGAAACGTCCTGAACATATTTTGAATTAACAACCAAAATGAGCATGTCGGTCCGAATAAAAAAAAAAAAAACATTGAAACTTAAAACAAACACCTGAGGCCGGTCGGAAGGTACAACAGCTGAAACGTTATAGCAACCAAAATGTTGGTACCAAGGCGATCAGCAAGTTGTGGACGCCTTGGTTGGTATGAATAAAAGCTCAAAAAAGTAAACTGAAGAAGGCCGCAGTGTACAACGACTGAAACGTTTAACAACCAAGATGAACAATATTGTACGTCCGAATAGCAAAGCATATAATTAGGAATTTGTTTCTCAGAATAAAATAAAATTTCTTAGAAACAAAACAAACAAAAAAAAAAAAAAAAAAAAAAAAATGAAACATGCAACTTTTTTTTTCTTAAATCACGAGACAAGGTTTTCAAATTGTCCCATAAAGAGAAAAACATTTTTTTTTTTAATCTTAAAGACCATTTTTAGATTACAAGGAGGCGTTACAAAAGGTTCAGGTTTTAAAAGTAGTAAATATTTTTATGGTTCACGCGTACATACAGTAAAAGAAAAAAGGCACCTTCACAGGAGAGGAGATGAGGCTTGAACCTGAACATTCGGGTTTTATCATTTTTGTTGGAACATCCAAAAAACTGACACCAACAACGTGAAAAGTTATTTCAAATCCAAGTGAAAATGAGATCATGATTGTCACAGATATTTTCTTTTTTTTAGGATAAAGTCTTGAACTTTGTACGTGACTTTGTTGGTATTTTCACTAAAAGATATTTTCAAATATTTTTCCTCATTGTTCTTCTTCAGTTTCACTTTGGGTCGGACAAAAAAAAAAAAAAAAAAAAAAAGGGAATAATAACCAGGATTTAATTTTAAAATAAATAATATAATAATGATAGAGTTTACTTTTCAAATATTCGGAAAAAAAAAATAAAATAAATTCTTTTTTTTACCGACAAGAGAACAAAAAGTTCCGAAAATTGTCTTTTTTTTTTAAGTTTATCTGTTTTTACAGAAAAAAAATGCTTTATTTTTTTTCTTTGCTCTCGCAAAAAATATTTTCCAAAAGAAAAAAAAGGTTGTAATTTACGAATTTTTTGAACAAATACAATTTTTTTTTTTGTAATTGCAAAGTAGCGACTATTTTTATTTAAAAAAAAAAGTCCTCAGAGGTCAATATTTCTCATTTTTATTTTTGATAAAAATGTTCTTTAATTAAAAGAAAAGAAAATTATTATAATTTATATTTTTACAATTATTCAAATAAAAAAAAAGAAAACAAAATTAAATTATTTGTTATTCACAATACCAATCATTCACATTTTTTGTTCTAAAGTGTAGAAAAAAATTAATTAACAATACAGTTTTAGAAACAATAATAAATTAATTTTTTTTTTTTTTAAATAATTTTATGACGACAAAAAATATATATTTTACTTATACACCAGGAATTTCATTTTTCAAAACAAAAAAATTATAAAAAGTTAACTTAAAAGAAAAAAAAAAGCCAAAATACCGTTTCGGCTTCTCGACTACATTAACTTACTTACTTACACTAGCATGCTAAAAATATTTGCCTTACTTTAGGCTTAATTTGAGCTCAAAATAGATTTTAATTATAAATGAATTCTTTTCTTACCATTCTGATATTGTAAGGTCGAAGTTTGAGGATCTATGACAGCAAAAAGCAAGCGTTGAAAGTTTGGGATAAAAACTTGTGATCACGCCGAAATCATATGCATAATGAAGCGATGCGCCGCCGCTTTTATAGGCGAGAGCGCATGTGCACGCCACGTAGCGGGATGCGGGCGAACTAATTACAGGGTGGACAACAAGCGAAGCTAAACAAAAAAAACTATTATTATTAAAAACAATGTAAGGGAGAGAAAAAGCGATAATTTTATTTTTTCGTGGTCGAAAGAACTAAAAACTAAATTCTCCATAAACTATTTTTTTTTATTCGCACGTGAAATCACACACACACATACATATATATATATATATATATATATATATATATATATATATATATGAAGAAATATAGTTTTAAGGTGTGCTATATTTATGGGATAAAGTGCTCAATAAAAGTGTTAAATATCAATTCTATCAATACCAAGCCTGTCAAAAAAGAAACTGTTTACTCATCAAAATTTTTATCTCATGTGTTATGAATTTAACTAAGTAACCGTGTCTTTTTTTTTTTAGTTTTTATATTCTTCCAAACTTCCTAATTGATCGCATGTTACATCCATGTTACTCTCAGTACCAATATATACACACACACACACACACACACACACATATATATATATATACTGGGTGGTGTGAAAAAAAGGGATAGAATTTCAAAAGAATACAATTTGACAGTTTTTGTTTTTTTTTGTCCCGAAGATCCGTTTAAGTTAAACCTTCGTGAATAGGTGCTGGCGGCTCGCTAGGTTTTATTTACAAAACTAGGTACAGTTTCCACACACACACACACACACACAAAACTAGGTACAGCTCCTTTTTTTACGCACACACATAGGTATCGGCGTGAGACCGTGATATTCCATGGTTATACATTGGAATCGTAATCACGATCCAATTCATCAGACAGACTGATCGCAAAAGCGTGAAACCCGAGGTCACGACACAAACTTACATCAATCCAACTAATGCTAGAGCTCTATCACTGATATTGAGCGCTTTCCAACAAGCATGAATAAAATAATAAATTGCATATATTTCACACACACGTACACATATACCCTGATTATATACCGTTACCGTGATTATATATAAAAGTGGGTACTGAAGTCCACACCCAGGTACGATACCGTCAGCTCCATGTTAAAAACGCAGTTGTTAGGCACATGTCCTGACTATTGTATTTTTTAGCATGAAACAAATCTCCACCACTTCAATGTACAGTGTACATTGTACACTTTACATACGCTCTATCCCTGATATTGAGCACTTTTTAACTCATAAATATAGCATATCTTAAAACTTAATCGAGTTCACGCCAAGCAATGCAGTTAAAAATGTAAATAAAAACACTGAAACACAAGGTTTTTTTTTTTTTTACTCACTGGGTATAAGTGTTAGAAACAGGAACAATTGCTAGAAGGTAACTAATTACTAATGTTCACCTAATACAAGGCCCAAGAGCCACTCAAGGTAGAGGGTTACTGTGCGGTGCTGTATGAGCGTAAGTAAAGGCAAGAAGTGAAATTCATGTGTTTTATTAACGGACGGATAACTCTCTAGACTTGTTGAAGAGATCAAGACTGTAGTGTAGTCAAATAATTGTGAAAAAAAAACATCAAAAAGCTGTGGGTTCCACACAAAAAATAATGATTAGATTATTTTTTGCTTGTAACCAAATTTTATTTAATTTATTAATTAATTATTCAGAAATTCAAATTCAAACTGTTTCGCTTTTTCTTTTCTTTTTTTTTAAATGTACAAATCACAAATTTAATTTCACTGACACCCCCACGCGCGCACTTGCTTTTGAACATGAATGTAATTTAAACTTTGTAACAGACTCAAACAAATATGAACTTTAAAACCTAAAAACAATGAACTTACATGTGTGGTATTCCAAAAGATGCCAGTGTCGTCGACATTAAAAACTTCATGTAAATATCTCCCATCTTTGACAATTTCAGTCAGTGTGTAAGGAAATAAATTTGCAGACACTGCGTCAGATTGTTGTGATGGATCATTATTATTATTATTATTATTATTGTTATTATTATTATTATTATTGTTGTTGTTTTTATTATTACTATTGTTAATATTACTACAACTGTTATTATTATTAGATTTGATATTTTGTAGATTGGCTCTGGTTTTGAACTTATGAAACCAGCCGTGACTTGCAGAGAAAGTCTCACCGGCTGCAATTTCTCCGTATTTATTTTTTAGTTCTTTAAAAATACTAATCGCTTTCTCTTGAATAACTATTTGGGTCGGGGGCACCTGACGTTGATTCTCGTCTTGTAGCCATAAGCACAAAATATTTTCCATCTCATCATGAAGTTTCCCTCTTTTTTTACTAATTATAGTAGATCGCATGGGTATGGAATGTTTTACGTGTTCCAGAATCCTTGCTTTGTCCTTAAGAATTGTACACACTGTCGAACGGTTCAAGCCGTAAACACGTGCAACGTTCGTCATCTTGTTACCGTTTTCCACTTGTTTTATGATTGCTACCTTTGTCTCCATTGTTATGGCTCGTCTTTTCTTAGCCAATCTCCGGCCACTGACTGATACATTACCGGCAGTTGAAACAATAGAAGGGTTAACTTTACTTTCACAGAATGAGACCAGAGTCTCCGCCGCTACCGACATGGAATCCATCATGTTATTGTTCGTAAAATATGGTACAACGTCGGAGTAGGACGAAAAATTTAAATACTACTCACACGGTGCAGTGACGAGAAAAAACCCCCAGTAAAATGAGGTTACAAATGGTCAGGCTTGTTCGTGGGGTGCCAGAAGTAGGCACGTTAATGCCAACAATTATTATTATTAAGAAAACTGGACACACGGAAATGGTCGTTCGTATGAATAGAAGTTTGCAAGCCGAATGTTCGTAAGTCGAAGTTCCAGACCTGGAAAAATATAACTCACAGAAGCAGCAATTTTAATTTGAGAATAAATTAAATTAACAAAACATGACAAAAATAGAAAGGTATCTTCCTTCTTCATAAAATAAATCCATGAATAAATGAACAGAGAACATTTTTGAACGTAAGATTGAAACTAGGTCAGTGCTACTGTGACCCCTAAAAAAGGTCTTCTTAGAGATTTGTTTACAACTGTTACAAAGCGAATTTATTTTGAAAAACAGGACAGAATATTCTGTTACAACTACAAATAAGGTCAATGACCTTAATAAATTGTGATATATTAATTGTATTTTATTTAAAATTGAATAATTCGTGAAATATTCGTAATTAAATAATCATCAAATTCGTCTGCACGACAGACAGGTTTGAAGCTTTACTGAATGAGCCACAACCTCATATCAGCAAAGGAAAAATCAGTGGCCATACCCCAAAATGACCAGCTTGAATAATAGATTCTAATTCTATTATGCCACATGAAGGATCGACCCTCTTTATCAAATTAACTTAATTTCTACGAACACGTTTCTTGTCTCTTTTTTTATTTCATGTGTGAGCAACGTCTTTTTTTTTTAAACTATTCATTCAATGAAGACTGAAAAGAAAAGTTATTTGCGTGCGTCCTTTTGATAATGAAAGGAAAAGAAATGGTCTCTAACCCTAGTTTATAAAAATTTACTAAAAATCAGGAAATTATCCAATTTAAATGAAATTTTCAACAATTATTAATTAATGAATGAATTTTATGTCAAATCGCTCATTATATAAGAAAACCTTCTGAAAATATTTTTTGGGATCAGTTTTGATATATGAACCAAAATGGTAGGGGCATTTATTTTATAAAGAAATTAATTTTCACTTAAAAAAAAAAAATAATTATGCAATATGTCAACGGCAAATATACTGAAAATTCGTCCAGAACCTTACTAAAAATAATTTAATAAAGTTCAAAACATTATTTTTGCTGAGTGTTAGGGCTTTTAATTTAAATAAAAAATATCTTTTTTAAGACTGGAGAAAAAAAAATCTACATTCAATATTAAAATAAAATGACTTGGACTTTACTTTTTCAATATGATTTTTAAATTGAACAAATAGCTGTTCCTTTTTTTATTTATTTTTTTTATAAGATGCTTTTTAAAGAATAGAAAAATGCAAAATATTTTTTGAAGAATCGAAAAATGTAAAGTTTATGCCATTTTCTATTTTGAATATTTTCAAAAGAATTTGTTTTCCATTTTTATAACTGTTATATTATTTTTAGTGGAGAAGTTCAAAAAGAAAATAATTCAATAATTTTGTGATGGCAATCAACAGCATAAATTATTTAAATAAATCTTTATCAACCCCCTCCCATACACATACACCTTTTGTCACACTTCTTTTTAATTTAATAATTTTTAAAATCAGAATAATTAGTATGAAAGAAAAGAATAAAACTCAAAAGTACTGTACTATTTAAGAAGACGGGTCCACCTGTAAAAAATAGGGATTATTTTTTATAACTTTTGTTTAGGATTTTTTAGTAAAAACATCCTATGAAAAAAATAGTTCAAAAAACAAATAAATGTCTGAGACAGATGACACAAGCCGAGTTTAAAAATAATAAAATTTATTCTTAACACATAAAAAAGAATTACACAAATTTAGTGCTTTGTATGCCTAGAAATGGCCAGTAACATGTAATTAATTATAAACTTAACAATGAAAACGAAACATGCCATTTTACAATTAAAATTATATTGCTGCACAAGAAATGCTCTCAAAAAAGAAAACTAAATAAAATGAAAAAAAAGAGAAATACTTCTCAGAAATGCTTTGCGTCTGTCTTTGGACAGAGTGCAACTTAGTTTGTGTGTCTGTCCATGAAAGAGATGCAGCTAAGGAAAAAAATACTGAGAGGTGCCCTGTCCCGGGGAACAGCCGCCCACAATAGTACCCCCATCATTGCACTAAAGAGAGGGATTGGTAGTCATATCGATGCTAGCACAACCAATAGTTGCAGGGACTGGGCAATTTTGGG